CCCCAAAACCCCAAAACCCCAAAACCCCAGTCTACAATGTACTTAATATATTTGAGAGTGATGAAATTAAGTTTAAATTAAGAATCATGATTGCAAAGTATACTGTGGGAAAAATATGTCTTGAGATTGATAGCCCTTTGAATGAATATTCCTAGTTGTTTTAGGAAATTACTAGTGCATCAAAAGTGTCTTTGTTAGATTTAAGAGTGTATTCGTCTCTTTAATTTTCTATTAATATGGAATCATAGTCTTTATTAGCATATTTTCATTATACTGTTTGTAGATATTCCTAGTCTTTCTCTACTAAGAATAAGTTTTCCTTTCAGTTATGTAACCTTAAATCAATTCTTGAGGCATTTGAGAATATATCTTAACTTTTTACTTTCTTTTTTCAAAGAATAACTCTTAATTATTAGGCTTATTTTATTCAGTACTTACTCTTGGAGAAACAGAGTTATACCTATTGTCAGTTTAAGTATTTTCTGCAGACTTGAGTACTCTTTAAGTACTTTCGTAATTATCTTTATATTTTTACTTCAAAATAGGTACCATCTTCTCAGTTATTTTATATTGAGTAGGTGGGGATTAAATGAAATCTTAAATCTTTTATTTTTCTTCCAATTTTCGTTTCGAAATTAAGGGGCTTTCAGCCTTATTGAGTTAAATACTTCTAGGTATCCCTGAGTTCGGGGCCTAATGACTGAGAGGTTGGATCTTTTAATTTCTGCATGAGATTATTGGACTCTAATCCTCGATATTGATATCCTCTAGTCCAGAGTTAAATCTTATTCTAAAATTACTATTCTGCTTAGTACTACTTGGAAGATCTTCAAGATTTTCTGTGGTACCATTTTGATCTTCAAATGATGTTATAGAATCTTTTGATTATTCATCCAAAGACATTTGATACTAATGATTGTCCTCCTCCTTTATTCTTTATGAGTTGGCATATTCAGAATGAGATTATTTATTAAATGATGAGGTTCTTTTATTAGATTGTGAGGTCCTTTCTAGATTGTTCATGATTTTCTTGGTCTTAATTCTGAGCAGGTTTTTGTTGTATGTTATAACCTCCTGGATGTTCTTAAACTCCTAGGTGCATTTTCTCTCTGTGATTTGCTTTTGCACTCGAAAGCTTGTCTCAAACTGCTTAGTTGATTCTTTCTTAGAATTTTTGTTAGTTTCTCCTCCTTCATTAAAGTTCTCTTTTATATCAGGAAGCTGATTGATAATGATCGATTATTTCTATTTTTTCATAGGTATTATTGTTAGTTATTTTCTGGGAAATGGCTAATTGTTACTTAAAATGCTGCTCCTGTTCTTAACAAGATTCATATCAATATTAAGCTTAACTTGAGTAGGGATTTTCCTAGGTGAATTATTTTTCTAAATTAAGAGGGAACTTCTTGGACTAGTATTAGGACTAGGATCAATCTGCTTCATTCTGATAATGTCTAGAAATGTAGACTAATTCTGCCTAGAATCATAAGTTGACTGAGTTTTAATCAAATCTTTCTAATTCATGTAGGTTCTTGGCATTCTCAGATCATGCATAAAACTATGAGCTCTTGTCTGAAGGTTTTTGCTATTTTTGTTATGCATGTATCTATCAATAGGTGAGCTTTAATAACTCGAAATTCCGATATGTGGATGCTTTTTTAAACTATTGAAAAGTGATATGTCATATTCAATCTGCTGGCACTTGAGATCCATTTTATTTATCTTAGAGTTAAGTGCACCACAGCATTAAGAACCCTAGCAGCTGTTTCTTCTAATCTTTTTCATCCATTATAAACTTTTTGATTCTTCTCTTAGAATTTAAGTAAAGCACATAAGTTTGAGGTCTTAAAATTTCTTGACCTGCTCCTGATTAGCTTAAAATCTTACTGGTGATTTACCTCCACATTATGGGGTATTTGAATTATCCTATTACTTATCGAATTCCTCAACTGATTCACTATCTTAAGATTGATCATTGTGTGCTAGTAAAATTTCAGTCCTAGAATCGCTTTTCCTTAAATTAATGGGAGACTAGACTTCAGATTATTGTTTACATGTGTTTAGGTCAGTTGCTGAATTCTTGTTATCTTAATCAAATCTATTCAAAGTAAAGTATTTCTTATGTCTTTTGTTATAATAATAATCTCTCTCAGTAGAAATAAAAGTTTCAAGCTTTCTCATATTTTCTCGTCTTCTAATTTCCTCAGGCATTTGACTGTCATACTGGTTCTCATTTTTCCTCTTCAGCACATTCTCAATATAGACTTGATACTTATTTTTAAAAGGTGAGATAATTCCTTTGAAAATGCCATGCCATCCTTTGTCCTCTTACCCAAAAATCATTAAAGGCATATTTTCGAAGTAAGGTTCTATATAATTGATTATAAACTTCTCACGATATCATTAATTGAGTTCTTGAATATTTAACTTACATTCAACCATTGCTTTGTCAGTTTATAGAACTGGATTTGAAGATGTCTTGAACATCCCCTGCCTTATCCTAGTCTAAGTTTTCTGGGCTTGATTGATTTGCATCTTTTTGTATTTGAGTTAGAGATCTTTAAACATAACTTCTTTCTTCATCATTAATTGCAAATAATTATTCTAATTAAAAGCTAAATCATTATAAATTAGATGCTATATATATTAAGAACAATGCATTTACTCCTAAATATTTCTTTAAGGGGTTTTGGGGTTTTGGGGTTTT